ATATCAATTTTTTGAAAATTGAAAAACAGTGCTTTTTTGAAGCACAATTAATAGAAGAATAACGGCTTGTGTTTATTTCGGTAGAAAATTCAAAATTCAGACATTATAACATTAACGAAAAAATATTATGTCGCGTCAAAAGCTAAATAAAATAAAACTTTTGTTCATTCAGAGAAAACATAATCCAAAAGGTGGGGTTTATTTTGTAATAAGACGTCATGATCTGTTAGATGGGGGTGATTTGGGTTGAATAATCTTATATTTAAAGCCCTTCTTTTATTTATTATACCTGAAGGAAAAAAAAAATCGAAGAAAAATCGAAGCTCGCCTATTTTGATATAGGGTTATGGAATAAATATTGGAAATTTCGATGAAATGATGTCCATTCTTAATAGTGCACATCAAGGGCATCTTTGCATTGAAATATGAAGAAAAATAAATTTTTTCAAAATTTTAGCAAAAACTGAAGGCTATAAGCCTTGGTATTTTCGGCAAAAATATCAATTTTTTTAAAATTGAAAAACAGTGCTTTTTTGAAGCACAATTAATAAAAGAATAATGGCTAGTGTTTATTTCGGCAGAAAACATCCGATTCTTAGAAAAAACCCAAATAAAAGTTCATGCTTCTAGATCATGCAATAATATGGAAATTCAATTTTTGACGAATTTTGTGAAAAATGCCTTTGAGATTTTGACGAAAAATTAAATATTTTTAAAAGAATAGAAAGACAGTTAAAGAGAAAATGTATATGGAAGGTAGCCGTAATAAACTTTTAGATTTTAGAATTTTAATGAACATTTCCAATTTTGAAGCCCATGTGGTGAAGTTTCTCTTCAGAAGAGTAGAAAAATGGAAGACAGACGCAATTTTCACAACAGATAAAGAGTTAAGTATTGCGAGTTTTGATAAATAGACTTCCATTTTGAAAAGCGCGCATCAAGTGCATGCTTCTTGAGCAATAATATGGAAATACAATTTTTTACGAAATTTGTGAAAAATGCAAAGGTATAGCCTTTGAGATTTTGACGAAAAATTAATTTTTTTAAGAGTTAAAAAAAGCGTATTTTAAAGCAAAATTAATTGTAAAACATCCGATTCTCTTTATTTCT